TTTATTAGCTTGGCTTGCTGATTACTTCTCCGGTTAGGCTGGAAGAAATCTAAACAACTGATGAAAAATTCTAGGTGCAGTCCTTTTCCCATACTTATTTTCAACATATATTAGTGGCTTGCTTGCTAGTGTTCCTATTTCTCTCTTCAAATACGCCGATGATATTGTTTTGTCAGGCGACCTCTAATTCCTATGACAAGATTCTGACAACTTGGAAAACGTTCGACCGTTTTTCGCCACATCCGGTCTCTCTTAATGCAAAAAATGTTTCGAATGTCTCTTTACATTATCACATATTTTTATGTGTATCAACTGGCTCTGAACCAGTATCCTGAGGAAGCTGTATTGAAAACCTGGTTTTTTTTATTGATGCTTATATTCATTGGACTTCTCACATTCAACACATAGTCAGTAGGCTTCGACAACTTTCTTTTCATATCCGTAAACTTCGTCAGTTTAGAGGAGTTGGAAACTAACCTGCGCGAACATCATTTAAATGCGTGTAAAAAGTTTGTAAATAAGATTCCTATCGACTCCACTCATTCGCTATACAGATTTAACCTCCTGTTGTTCTCATACGTTAACTAGATCCAAATACCGTTGTGGTCCCGCTCGAATAAACCTCGTAACTCTACGGCACCCTCATCAGCATGTATTCAAGTTAACTAAGAACAAGTTTTCACAGACTTTGTTAACCGTTTTAGGATATAAATTTTTTTCTCCCTCTCACTATAACATGTATACCTTTAAACTGCAGTGTAGGCTTTATGCCTATAGAAGTTACTACAATAACAATAACAGTCTTTTGTCATGGACTCTAATTGGCCAGGTCTAATTCGTATGAGACAGGATGGGGAGAATGGCAGCCTCATAAACACGCAATCAGGTCCGGAAACTGATCTTGCTGCGGGTTCATAAAAATCTGCAAAGTTGTGCAATGACTCTCATTGCGTCCCTTGCCTAACTACGGTGCAGCAGGCGACCGTAAGACACACAAAACGTATCCTAACCAGCGGAGCCCGCTGAGCTGAATTCGATGGGATAGCGACCACTTGCCCGATGCATTCCCAACCACCCAACGACTTCTAGGTTACTAACCCGCTCACTCCATCCAACCTGGGTCAGACGGATGTATTCTACCCACAAATTTAAGGTCTTACAACTGTAAAGCAGAAGTGATCGTACAGTGGCGCAGTATACGCGATCTTTCAACTTCAGTGAAACGCCACATCGTCGCATAGGTGTTTTAGTCCTGCGTACACTGCTCGAGTCTTGGAAATGAGTGCGATTATCTCCTTTGATGCACTACCGCCTTTGGTCACGCAACTACCCTGGTACGAGAAGCAACTAATTTGAGTTGACCATCTTGTTTCAGAAAAGGACTCGGCGATATTCAGTCTTGCAGCATCACTTTGCACTTAGGTGTAAAGCACATACTGAACCCGCTAGGCTGTCAAATGAACTTTGCCTGTCTTTCATACATTCGAAAAGACAGACGATATAATCAGCGTACCCTAAAACGTACACTTTTCACCAGCTGCCCATTCAAAACCTACATTTTGGAAACCACTTAAGGCGTTTTTAAGGAATGACGAAATAGGACACTTTTGAAGAACACCACTCCTGGTTTCGAACAATCTGCTCAGCTCGCCGTAGACTCTGAGAATACCAGAAGTATCCGAGTGACCTCAATAGGTTTATATACTTCTGGGACATCCATTTTCGAAGAAGCGAGCTCGTAAGGATTTCGCGATCAAGTGAGTCGAAGGCTCTATTTTGTCCAAGGAACACGACAATCGTTGTTCGACGGAGTCTACGGCGTAGCTGGAGGACTTGACGCACCGTGAAGATTTGGTCGGTAAAATCGCGACCAGGCCGGAATCCTGCTTGTTGTTCACGGATATTCGTCTCCCTGAAGGAAGTCAGACGTCGAAGTATGACGGAGACTGGCACTCGGTAACTTGGGATCTAACTTATTCTGCAGTGGTTTGCGAGGTCGTTGCGAGATTGCTTATTGAAAATTAGCACTATCAGTGATTCGCTTCAAGGTGAAGGAATGCGCCCTTGCGACCGGATGTTACGAATTAAATCAGTAATGGAACCTACGGGGTCCCCTCCTTGAAAAGAGTGAGGAAGCTCGACAGGTCCGACGGCTTTCTATTTTTCAGGGCTTGGATGTAAGATCTGCTTCTGTGGGAGGTTCAAATGGCACTGCCTATGGAGCCTAAACTACAACGAACGATATAGTCTGGATAGCGCCAGGCCATTTAAACTGTTCGTTGAAATACTCTGCCCAGCAGAAAAGCCGTTGTTCCTTAATGTGAATAGTGTGTCCCCTTTTGTCGCAGACTGTTTCGCGGATCTCTCGTGTTGCGTATCAGTTGCAACTATTGATTATTCCCCGCTGAAGCTGCTACTCCCAATTCGCTAGCTATTTTTGCCCGCCAGTTATCACAGTGCTTATTGAGGCTCTTCGTGAGCTAAGGTTGCAGATGCCACCAATCCCTGCTTTGATCCCGGCTAGTCGGGATGACATAATACCTTGTATATCGCTTTTCTGACTCATATCTCCTCTCCCTTTATCAGCTTTAACACGTACGCTGTATGTCGAATAAAGGCCAACGGTTGCGCTAACTCATTCTGGTTTCCCGTGCATCCTGCTATAACACTAAAATTTATTAAACATACAGCAATTAATCGAATATTACGCCTCGAACGGTTCGATGTTGAACCTAGCTCACTAGATGCTACCATGCAGTGGAACCATTGGTACAGGACTTTTCTGAGCCTCCTCAAGTCAGTGGACAATTTAAAACCCGATAAACTGGATATGCTGATTTCATACATATCTCCAGCTGTATAGGAACATGTCGTAGAATGTGAAACCCATGAGATGGCAATGGAGACTCTTAGTAACCTTTATGTGCGCCCAAAAAATGGGTTTTCTTCTGGCATATCCTTGCCACGGCCGAACAGGACAGTGGTCAAGAGATTGCACTTTCAGGTCCACTACCCCCGAGGAAAACCTTGACGATATTCTCCAAGATGCACATATTAGTGGAATTCAATCTAACCATATCAGACAACGCCTACTGGAAAATAGCTTGCTGAATTTTCAAAACGCCTTCGAACAAGCGAGAGCCCCAGAAATGGCAGAGCAACAATTTATGTCCCACCAGTACTTTTCCACTGCATCCCACTCGGCGGCTATACGCGCACCTTCGTCCACTCCTCCCTCACCCCAGAAGTCTTTGATAGTGTTCTAATGATAGTGTTTTTTCTGTGGCCTCGATAAGCACCCTTGCTCGAAGTGACCCGCAAGAGACAGTCTCTGTAAAGGTTGTGGTAAAAAGGATCACTTTCAAAGGGTTTATCTCTCAAAAAGCCAACAAAGTCACGCTTCATCTGCCGCTTGCCCATCCATATCGGAAACTACCGCGGCTAACTCTCCTACATGTCTCTCAAAATCTGTCGTTGATCTCGAGGTCAATGGAGTCCTTTGTTGTGCTCTGATTGACACCGGCAGCTCAGCAAGCTATGTTTTCGAGAGCCTAGAACTCACCAATAATTGGAAGGCACTCTCATCCAAAGAAACTGTCACAATGGTCTCAAGTTCCCTATCAAACAGCACAAAGAGCACTGTGTTATCTCCATCAAATACAGAAGCCGTGTCTACGAACTTTTCAAACTATCCATACTGCGTGATCTATGTTCGGATATTCTCCTCGGACATTACTTCCTCTGCCTTCAGAAGAGCGTTCATATATCATTTGGCGGACAGAAGATTCCGTTTACGGTCTGCTCACTCAGGTTTGCTTCCATAGTGTCCCCGCCACTTTTTCAGAATCTCTACATTGTAAGCCGGTCGCCACAAAACCCAGACGCTACATCAGATCAGACATTCATACGCGAGGAAATAAATCGAATCCTGTCCGATGGTATCATTGAAGCTTCCAATTCGCCGTGGCGCGCTTAAGTGCTG